AGGTACACGCGGAGCGATCGGGCCGGGTAAACAGCGTTCAATGTTCAAATGGCAAGCCGTGTAATTAATGAGAGGTAAACACTTTGGTGATAGGCAATAATTATACAATGTGAGATGAACCAAAACAGCGCACTCTACACCAAAGGCCAAAGTTGCTGCGGCTGCCTCCTTAATGGCGTTTGTGCCTCCTATAATGCACTGCTGAATTTTAATTTGCGCTCAGGCAAATTCTAATCTGCAATAAATCAAGAATTCAAATAATTCCACAATGAAGGAGTCAAGAAAGCCGCGCTTGTGCGACCGCCAAGGATTATGAAAATTTAATGAACCGCCTCTCTCTCGCTTATTCTCTCTTTGGTTTTTCGAATTAAGCTGGAGAATAATGTGATTTTCGACTCGGGATAACAATTTGTACGGAACTTGAGCTATTAAATTTATGGTCAAAAGCTCAGCGCTCACTTGCAAAACTGGCAAAACGGCTTGATTTGTAAACTGGTAAATATGTTTGCCATACAATACGGACACAGGGCTTTTAATGAAATGAGAGGCAAAATTGAGTTTTTTTTTGTCGGACACTAACGAACGCAATTTGCCTCACAACGACGCAATCTAAATATATATATGCAATGCCTGTTTTTTCTCACGGCTTTTTGGGCATTAAAATGTTTTCCGATGGGAAATTACAAAATTAGCAAGTAATTTACGTTGTTTTCTGTTTTATTTTTCCATTTGCATTTACCAGAATGAGAGGATTGCACTTGATTCTTTACACAAATGGGTTAACAAGCATGAATTTTATTTTATTTTAATAAATAATAATTTTTTTGGTAAATTTTTTAAACCAATGCTAAATATTAAAAAGTTTTTTTGAAGTCGAAAAACAAAATACATTGAACCTAGAAACACCGAGTAGTTATTTTATTTGATTTTAACTTCTGCATTCTCCACACAAAAATGTATTGCATTTATAAAAATCCAGACTTTTAAAAGTTTTTTTAAAAACTAAATTTTTATCAATAAACTTGGATTACTTCTATAAAAATCCTAAAATCTAGCTGCTAGAAGAAGGGAAACTGTTTGGTTCGAACTCGAGCCCATCTGGGGAAACAAACAAAAAGGTTTTCGCCGCATTGGCCAATAAACGCGTCGTTGGCAAGCCAATTCTTATCTGCTCACGCGGTCGGTTCGATAATGGGAAACAATAGAATCGCACTTTTGGGTGCGAACAGGCGATAAGGGCGGCCATAGCGGCGGCGGGTGTCACGAGCACTCCACCCCGCGCGCGCGTTCACCGCAATAGCGTTCGTTTTCGGGCCGGCCGCCTAAATGGCTTCATTTGTGACACCACCGAGAGCGACTCACTCTGGAGAGACACGTAACGACCGCGCCGCTCCAGATGTCCCATTACTCTCGTTTTTCCGCGCGTTTGCTCGGCAACCTGTTCTCTCGGAAATCGGAACGCTTGCTTTTCATTAAGCCAAAGCCGTGCCTCGTCCAAATTGTTTCAATGGCCTGTCCGCCTCACCGAGGGCGTAATTACTGCGCGTCCCCTCCAGCTAACGATGCACAATGTTCAAGTGGTCGCGGCCCACGACCGGACGCGCCGGTCCACTGTTGATTGCTTTTGAGTGCTGCCTGGGTGCTTCGACTACAAACCCAACTTTCCACCAATTTTATTCTGAAAATTTTTTCATTTTTTTTTAACCATAAAAAAAGCATATTTTTAAATTTAAATGGGTCTGTCTGTCTGAATCTATATTTGTGGGGTCAAAAGCGCAACCTCGGTGACCTTTTTTCGTGTCAAATACGGGTTGGGGGTGAATTGAATCTGACTTTTGACCATGGAATTTGATTCAGCCAGTGACTCGTTATTTAATTAAACTCAATCAAATCAATAATTTTAATTCAGTTTCAATCCAACAGGAATTGGAATCAAATGAATTGGACATTTAGCACGATTTGGAATGCAAAAGGCACCCGATTCGTCGATGCCCACGCCCAGCAAGTGTTTCTCAATAGTGTCTGGTAACGAGAGAGCCTCTCTGCTCGTTGGCAATCCGCAAGGCTCTGATTGCAGTTTAATGTACTTGACACCTGGCTCTCTCGCTCGCTGCGTGTTGACGATGTAAATTTGGCATGGCTGCGGTACAATATTCTTCTGCCGTCTGGCACGCATAAAGCGTTTGTCAGTCTGTGCACCGCATTGTGTGTGTACCGAGTAGGCGTCTCGCAAAACCACTCCCAAATTATTAGCAGAAGCAGCACCATTTGCGCTGTCTCATGTGCAAGGGGGAGAGAGAGGGCCTTCTTTTTTCACTCTTTGTTGATCACAAATTGTACCTGGTGCGAAAAATCGTTTCATTTCCACGCTCAGTGAACGAAAGAAAGTTGGCAGCCCCTTGCAGTGCTCCCAACTTTGTTATGCAAATTTATTAGTCTCGCGAGCTCTTTTAATAAAGCAGAAAAATATGGTTTATGCGCCGTGTTTTGCGGTCTGCACCCAAGTTATTCGGTCTGCGGTGCCTCCCTGCGCTGCAAATAAATGTGTGTATGGCACTGCACACATACATTTCGTGCCATGCGCCGGGTTTGCGTTGCCGCCGCCACCACGGAGAAATTAAACCGCAAAGTTGAAAAGCACAAATCAAATTTATGCTAGGAAATCTTGTGAGGGATTTCTCGCTTCGTTTCTCCCACACTAGTGATGTGGTGCAAAAATGCTTTCAAAAGCTTCTTCCATCAGATTCTTCCAAGCGCTTCCAAAATTTAATTCAATTTGTAAAAAATGTACAGTTATTAAATATTCTGTGCTAATTATACTTTGTAAAACTGAAATAATATTCATAACATCACATAACATAAACAAATTGTAAATTTTTAATATTGAAAAAAAAATTTAAAAATGGATTAAAAAAATACTGTTGTCTTTCAAATTTCAATTTCAAATCCGGATTAAGTAATTAATTTTTAATATATTCGTATTGTAATAAATTATTTATAAATGACATTAGCGTGTGTCTCATAATCAAATCGGAGACTCTATTCATGAAGTTCCGTGAAGTAATTACCAACCTAAATTACAGGTCAGGCGGAGACAGTCGTGAGGAGATACGCGAGTCCTTCTTACCTGAATAATTTCCGTCCTTTACAAACACGATGTGTGTACGCGGTTATCTGGCATGTGAATTCGTGCATTTTCTCGGAAATTCCGAGTCAGCCGTGCGGCAGCATTTAATTTTTCAGTCCAAGCTCTCCATACTTTTGGGAGGAAGAAAGGCACGGTTGAAAAATCGCGATAATAGTGCGCTCGGCGGCCAGACGAATAATTGTGAATACGAAAACTGCGGAGTTTGAATTTCACCAATCTTCGCGTGCCCGGATCTCATTTCGCGGTTCGGAACAAAAATAAAATGTCTAATTAGCCGCCGCGGAAAGAAAGAGAGGAAGGGTTGCTTTATTATTATACAGGGCGAGTCGGAGGAACAAAATAAATTGCCCTTATCGCGCGCTTGTATCTGCCCTAATTTATCTATTTCGCGTGTTTCTTGTCTCTGGCCGCGCGCGGTGATTTACATCGTCGAGAATTGATATTATTCCGGAGAGGGAAAGAAAGGGAATAAAGAGAAAGAGCCAGTCGACGGCATTAATTTCGTGATTTATGTCGATTCCGTCCGCAGCACGGCATGCTGTGGTCGTCGAGTAAAAAAAAACAAAAGGGGTGCTGCTGTGGGACTTTGATATTATGCATATTTCTCAATACTGCTTATTTTCATAATGTGAAACCCCGAATGAAGTCACTCGTCAGCACAAGGGGAAGTTGATGCTGATTTATCGCGTGGAAAAATACACCGCATATTTATTTATATATTTGTCCGCCCGGAACCTTTTCCGAAACACACACCAGATGATTCGTGAGCGACGGTAAACGCGTTGCATGAATGAACCGTTTCGTTTCAGTCGCGCGCGGCGAGAACGTAAAAAGGGAAATGATATCATGTCATGCGAATGGCGAGTTAAATCTGCTGGAAGCTCGCCCCGAGTTTTCAAATATGAATAACCGTGAAAACCATTACACAACTCCCTCTGCACAAACACACATCGTACATATGAAAGTTCTGAATGGCAAAAAAAGAAATCTCGTGATTGACTTTTCTCTCTACAGTTGCGTGTTGCTAGTCTATGTTCATTATTTTATTTCAAGGCAACTGCGGTTTTGGCGTCATCGATCGGCCCGCACTCGGTCGTATTTCATTTTTGCAATTGTTTCAGCAGCAACATAATAAAATTTACCGACTTCTCCGCGTGCACATACGTTGACCGAACAATGCTTCGTGATCACATTCCGATTGGCCATAAATCTACTTGAACTGTTGAACTTGATCGTCGGAATTTACAACTCAATTCAAAACAAATTAACGCTGCTCCCGACGGACCGCAATATGCCATTTACTAATATTTATTTACACAGAAAAAACTTAATTTGATTGTGTTTTTTTTTTATAGAACAATGAAATTAAGAATTTAAATTGAACAAGCCTTAAGAGTTCAATGTAGAAATAAAAGAAAATAATTCTGTACAAATAAAAGTTCATAAACTTTATTAAAATTGAATTTCAGATGTAAAAAATCGTAAATAAAAACAACCTATCTAGTGAAAATCTATATTCATCTAATAAATTTACCTCTAGAATTTTCTTCTTGTTGCGTGAAAATCAGTCAAATCTGATGATAAAAAATCGATAAATATATCTAGATAAAATATACCTCTATATTTTACAATTCAATAAATTTATTTAATTGAATTTAATTCTTTATTTTGGTTAGGAAAATTTTAAAATATATTTATTCCTATTAATAAGATTGCAGGAAAGAGGATTTTGTTAAATAAAGTACTGATCCTTTTAGAAAACTTTCAATTTATGACTCGATTATTTTCAGGAAATTAAGATAAAGTAAACAAATTGATTCAACTGCTGTTTTTCAGGTTATATTCCCTATAATATACAACTCTAACTTTGGATAATGTGTTTTAATTTAAATGGGATGAACACAGATAGAAGGTGGGGCAAAAGAAGGGGTGACGTCTTGAGGTGGCGGCACGGACGACAGGTGAGGTGGGCAGCTGCAGGTGGTGGACAGGTTCCCCAAAGAGGGCTGGCGTCGGTCACAGGGAAGGCTCGGCCTCTCGCTGGGGTGAAGGGCCACTCTCAGGTTGGTCAGTGGTCGCCAGACGAGGAACCTGGGGACAAGGAGGGAGCAATTAGTTAAGCTTTAAATATATTAGCATATGAGGTGCTAAAATGCACACAAATGCGCTATCACTTTATTTACCTGTCGACTCCGCAGGCAGGACTTGGGGAGTGTGTCTCGTGGGTCAGCTGGGGTCTGGGTGGTCCGGAGGTGCTGCCTGGTCGAGGTCGCCGGCTGGTAGATGTGTCCGCCCTAGAACAGTATTGTGACCATTAGATAATCACAAAGGAAACTAAGGGTGGACATCTCACCAACTGGGGTGGTCAGGACCTGGGCAGCTCTGCGTCCTCTGGCTAGGCTCTGCGAGACCAGGGTAGCGGCGAGGAGGGACGTCCGGCCAGCGGGGTGGCGGGGCGTTCTGCTCGCTGGATAACCTGGGAACAAAAGATTGAACTTTTAAGTCCCTCCGTCAGCGGCGGTGGCCAGAGAGTCGCCTACCTTCGTAGAAGTGGCGAGTCTCGAGATTGAGTGATCCACAGCTGACGGGGGGCCTCCTTTTATACTATTACCGCCCACCCACTTTTGCATACAAAACCATTGCCCTTCTACTAGAATATTCCCACCCATCGGCCAAGTGAGAGAATTCAGGCGACCTTTGTACCTGAATTCTTGAACCGACAAAAGAATTTACTTTATCCCAAAATAGATTTGCAATTTGCATGTTATTTTCAACAATTGATTTCCCACAAAAAGATTCTTAGACTGATTTTAAAATTAATTTCACTATTGGGATTTTAATTTTAAAACCCACTTAAACAAAAATATTCAAAAAAAAAGAACTAGGAACAAAACGTACATAATGCATTAACTAAACCCCTAAATTAATTTGACCTCTCTTAAAAAAAAACAATCCTTAAATTTTTCATCAACTCCCCCCCCCCCCCCCATTATGTACTTTGTTCTCCAAAAAGCAGTCTTTGTGCTCTGATTAACAAAAAATAAATAAAACAATTTCTTATATGTGACTCGGTGTTTAGTTGGGGTTGTCCGAGTGGGCTGCATTTCGGGCCTCATGTTCTGCGTCCAGGCGGTTGGCCAAACTACGGAGGAGATTTGCGGCCCGTCTCAGCTCGTCTGGGGTTACTGTTGGTGCAGGGCTTCCTTGGTGCGGCTGGCGAGGAACGGGATTTGGTATTGGCTGCGCCATCAGGGGTGGCGGTGGTGGGTAGTCAATAGCACTGCCTCTTTGTGTCCCGAGGCGTGCAAAGACGCTAGTTCTGGTATTTGCCTTGTTCTGAGTTGGTAATACCGCAGCAGTTGCTGTCACCATTTTGGCAGGCGTTGGTGGCTGTACTGGCACTGGCTGCCGAGGACCAGATGTTGCAGGACAATCTATGGGTATTAGTCTGTAAGGTGTGCTCGTGGTTATCGGAGCTGTCTGGCTTTGAGCTTGTGCAGGGGCAGGTCTGCGTACGCGTACTTCTGGCGGTAGGATGCGGACGGGAGTAGTCGCTGCACTTCGTGGGTCAAAACCCCGGCGTGTGACCTTTGCCTGTTGTTGTCGGTGGACTTGCGCCTGTTCTCTTTGCTCTATGCGCTTGTTGATCTCCGCAGGATACAACCCTGTCAGTGGTGATTTTCTGATGGCGCCGACTTTGTTTTTTTTTGTTTTGGAATGGGACGCCTCTGGTGTTGCTGGTCTGTTCTGAAGGGAGTGTTTGTTGCATGAAGAGCTCCTTAGGGGTTGCCGTCGGCGGGTCGGTTGGTGGTTGGCGGTTGGTGGCCACGGGATGAAGGTCATTTGCATTTTTTTTTATGGTCATCTTCCAAAGTGCCCACGTCTATAATGAAATTTGCACTTGTAGTTATGTTCACATTATTTTAATAAAACAAAATCTACGCTACCATGGGCTTGAGGCACTTCGGGTTTGTTCCTTTTCCGATTATTCCCGTCGGCGAATTCATCGTCCGAAGATGATAGGGATAAATTCAAGAAGTCGTCGTAGCTGGACATGGCGAAAAACCCACGCTTCGCGAGGAGGGAAAAGACGCTTGACTTATTGATGGGATGGGCCTTGCGCTTACGATTCGTGTTTGTTTTTTGTGTCTATAATTTGAATTTTTAAAAGTTTAACAGAACAGCTTTGTAAGGAAATTCTAACTATGTTTTGAACGAACCGTAGCATTTTAAACTGTGTTGAAAGGGTTGATGTTTTTGGTATTTGATAGGGGGGTTTGGCTTTGTTATTTACCGCAATCCTGACAGAATCGCCAATTGGTATTACAAATTTCGTTTATTGCAAACCAAAAATAATTTTAGGAAGTTGCAAGTAAGGGGTTTGCATATGATTATACTGACTTTTTAATTGTTTAAATTATTTCTAATGCTAATTGTTTAATAATATTGGTTGGGGTATTTTGTTTAAACAAATTGGGTCAGCTTATACACGGGCTTTATTTTATACAACAATTCTGGCAGAATGAGTAAAATCACTGGATCGAAATTGTTCGTATAGTGTCACTTAAAAACCAACAAATGGGAGCGGTGTTCCCTGGGTAGGCCGGCATGTTATTTTCAACAATTGATTTCCCACAAAAAGATTCTTAGACTGATTTTAAAATTAATTTCACTATTGGGATTTTAATTTTAAAACCCACTTAAACAAAAATATTCAAAAAAAAAAGAACTAGGAAAAAACGTACATAATGCATTAACTAAACCCCTAAATTAATTTGACCTCTCTTAAAAAAAAACAATCCTTAAATTTTTCATCAATTTACATTTACAACTGTTTACAACGTAGCGTTACAGGTGACACAATTCAATTCACTCATTTGCAAACTGGTTGAAAAGGAAAAGGAAACAAAACAAGTCATTTTTTCTAATTTTAGAACACCTAAATTCCAAACTTCATTATCATCTAGTATTGCCTATATAGGGGCAGGAAGAGGATTTAGATGATTATCAAGGAGTAATAAATATTTATTTGCGCTTTCTATCCTGCTGCTATACACGACACATACAGTAATTTCAAACATGAATCTTTCGATAGACAAGGAAGTAATGATCGTTGAAAAGGGTTTCTCATTTTTTGCGTTAATTTGGCTATTCACGTTTTTTCTTCAAAGTATAGGACGACATTTTAAATGCACGGTTAAAATCAAGAATTAAACTGCGAATATTCCAAATGCTGCCACGGGCACTTAGTAAAATTCAAGTAGTTTGCACGTTCTCCGATTTAAAAAGGGAGCAAAGCGATCGTGGAAATGGTTATAAAAGTCCAATTTGCTCATTGCAAACGCCCATGCAAGATCCACATTGAAAGCCCACTTAGCGAGCTTTTCGCGAGGGGCGCAGCCGCGTTTTATTGCTGCGCGACGGGCAGAGAAGAAAATGACACAGATTTTCTTGAGGTGCGGTGGGCAGAGCCGAGGATATCCAGCAGAACATCTGCGGTGGCTGCTCGTCGGCGGCCTAATGGATGGCTCCCATTATTATGCGAGAAATAAAATTTTATGGGCCAACGAGAGAGAAATATTCGGGACGCGCGTGAACGAGTGAGTTATTAGCGGGCTTAGTGTGAAAAATGGCGGCATCGGAAACCAGTTTGATAGATCGCAATGATCGCATGTGACGTCGCGCGCTGCGCCATTCATCTCTCGCGGATTCGCGCACCTCTTCGCGGCCTCCAAAGGCCCCAACTTCTTCTGCGCGCCTTCTAATTGCTGAGGCAACACGGCGACGGACACGACGCTGGCTGGAATTTATACATTCGGTATTGCGCGCCGACTCGAAAAAGAAGCTAGTCTTCTCGGCCGGGCACTTAAAAAGCCGTAAAGATAAAAGTTCTTGCGCTCAAAATTAGTTTCACCTTGAAAATTCCAGCCGAAAAAGTTTAAGAGCCGCAGCGAAGTCTCCTTTTTTGAAATTAAGAGGCGAAAGAAGTTAATCATTTTTATGCGCTCCTTTTTTGAGTTTCTGATTTCCCTGCAAAATTTTTGACAAGCGCAAATTGGAAGTAAATAAAAAAAATTCATTCCTAAAATCAAAATAGATCTTGAAACGATTTTGAAAATTAAACAATTTTAGCTAAAAAATTTTGCTAAAAACAATTCCAATTCAATAATTTTTTTTTACAATGAGAACTGAATGTTGCCTGTGAGAATTTGTTTTGAATTTTTATCTCTCTCATGCAAACTTCATAACAAACTTTTGAGCTTCTCAATTCTGGATATTAACGTGTTGTCAAGTTTATTTCGTTTATGTTGCGGGAAAACATTTTAAATTAAAAATTTGATTTTTTTCCTATTTATTCTCAGTAATCACAGGATCAGGATGGAGCAAAGTTTACCGTGAAACAATGAAGCGCATCGTCATTTTCTAAACACGTTCGATTCACCCTCGGGTCAGCCTCTGCTGAATTATCGCAGCGTTCAAAGAATCAGCTGGCTGGTCGCGCATTCCACGGCCACTTTGTGTAACATAATAAGGAGGAAGGCAAGGCAGGAGTCTTGCATAAATAATCGTCGCGGCAACATTCTCGAGCTGCATTCCGCGTTGCATCTCCTAGCGCAGTCACATATGCTGCTGCGGGTGATTTGATTATACTTTGATTACATGCACGGCGGAACATGGAATGCAGACACTTGTTACGCGCATTTGCATGCAACCGTGTTTCTTTTCTCATATTCTTCTGAATTGAATTTGAGACGACGTGTTTGCAAATTGATAAAATTCCCGGCGCGATCGAAAACTGCAGCGAGTGAATTGAATAATTTAAATCGCGCCGGTCACATGCATGCATGACTCACGTTGGCCTGACTGCTGGTGTGGTAATGTGATTAATATAAAACTGCTCTCTCGGTGGTGTGTATGTGTGCGATGATGATTGCAACAGGGTACCAGCGTAATATCTCGTTGCAATGGGACGGAGCCGCGCGGCAACAATCTTATTTTTACGCGTGATGAGCGCGCCTTGTTTATTATTCTTCTCTCCAGACTGTGCAGGCTATGATGAAACATGATTTATCTTTGCACAATTCTTGCATCGCACAAACACAATCAACTTGCAAATATTACAAAGCTAAAAATATCTAAAGCTCATCAATTTATTTACAAAATGATAATTTATAAATATTCATTCATTTTTCTCGCTTTTTTAAACCATGTCTGTTTCTTTAGATTCCAAATAACTTTTTCTCCATACGTTTTCAATTTAATTAAATAACTAATTTACTTCTGTTCAATACACATTGGAGAATATGCGAATAAAAGCAACTTGGGAATTGAACGTTAGCAGAAACGCTTAAAAAATACGCAGATTCGGTCACGCTCGAGATTGCAATTGTACCCATTTACGAGCGGACAAATGAGACAAATTCTGAACGGGCAGACGCACATTGCTCATTCAAAGGCGTTTTTGTTTCGCGGACCACCCGTGGTGGATGCTCGCGGTGCGTCTGTCGGTGACAAAAGACCATTTTTTTTAGAGTGCATACTTGACAAGAAACAGCGAAATTGGCTCATTATCCGCGTGGCAGAATGTTGAGGTGTCGCTCTTTATCGCGCGTAATTGCAGGCTGGGATGAAAGCAAGAG